AATATAGACAGAATTTGGTGTACGTTGTACTTCTAACCGCCACTAAGTGTTCTACATACGTCTCGTTTCTCCATAGTGGATTGCTTTCGACTTAGCTTCTATCTCGACATGTGCGTTTTCCTACAATCCGACAGACAGGATGGATGATTAGTAGTACTATTTGGATGTATTGAAAACGGGGAAATCTACCTCACGTCATACTACAAATATTTAATTCGAGTCTACTAACCTTTATACGCAGTACGCTGACAGTTATTCTATTCCTTGTGAAGTCTGCTTCTTCCTGTGAAATGGGTCAAATGGCTTCATAAATATTTTGTAAATCCGTATCCAATCCACCCAATGAGAACAGAGACTTCATTTTTTTTGTTGGATTTTGTTAAAAAATAGATTTCACACGTCTGCGGCTTTATTGGTTTGATTGTTTTTTTATTGTTTTTTTAGCTAAACAATATTATACAGTATGTACTGTACACAGGAGAAGAGGACCCCCGTGATCACTGATCCGACATCGGGCATCCCCCTTGGTGGTGACATGGCCGTTCGATCCCCTATTTATATTTTAGTTCTAGACAAAAATAACTTAATAAATAGGTAACTTTGACTATTGCAGCCAAACAAACTGCAGCTCTGATAATACAGCCAAGGGATCAAAATTGCTGCATCTACATATAGAGTGCATTATCTCAGTGTAGACACCCTGATATTCCTGGGCTATATGGAACAATCGGTGTTTTTCAAATGGCCATGGCTTTTTGGGCGGCAAAATCAAATGAACCGCCAATTTTCACGAGAGCGAAATATGTTTGAACACGAAAGTAAATCAGTAAAAGTTCACAAAAGAATTTGAGTGCGGAGTACTGATGGTTATATATTGACCATCATATGTGTGACATGCGTTTCCATTACAACACATTGTATGTACCGCCAGCTATCAGCGTTCAATAGTATTGTATTCGTTAAATAGTAATTGTATTGTTCTGCAGAACTATATAAACCATACGGAAACATGTCACATTCACAAGAAGATACACAGGGAAGCCCGAAGAGGGTGAAGGTCGATGCGACGGTCGAGGCGAGCACGAGTGCCGCAGACGATACCAGCGCGAGAGCAGTTGTAGACAAACTCAGCGCGAAAGCCGATGCTGAGGGTGAGATAATATAACGCTTAAAATGTTGATACGGCGTACACTTGTTTTGAATATTATGTTCCGAGTAACATCTCGTAAAACCATGCTATGCATTCATTTGGCTGTAAACACTGGGACGCTGACTTTCAGCTTAGGTCGTTTTCGGGGGGGGTTGGGGTAGTTGGCTAGTGCGAATATTTTTTTGCCATTCTTATGACGATAAGGTGGCTTGATGTTCAATTTGATCATTAGAGATCCATTGTTACAATACGGCGAACTATTACAAACGTATGGACGACGTAAAATGCGATTCTAGAGCAACTCATATACACTAGCAACTTTCACAACTCTCGATAAATAACACATGCTTGCATAGAGTTGAAATACTTGAGAGTTGAGAAAACGAAAAGACTGAACCACAACCACACTCTACTCCACAGTCAAAATAGTTGAGATGATGGACTGTCTGCGACGTGTCGGACAACAATGCGGCAATGAAGATGAGCTCAAAACTGCACTGAAGACTCTGGCTCTCTACGTAACAAATCTAATCGAGAACCCCACAGACTTCTCTTTCCGGGTATGTGTTGGAATTATAGCTACTATAACGTGAATGTCCACCTGATTGTTACTGTTCTGTATTACGAACACGAAACTCTTTGTATTTGCTTGGTTTTTGACACTGGCTCATCGTAGTGGCAGGGTGCTTGTGTGTGCGAGAGGCCGCGTTCTCTTATAATTCTTTTACATTTTTATCGGTAGTTTATACGGCAAACTGCGGACCAGGTATCTAATACACGATATGCCTTCCCACATGCAGACGATAAACCTCCGCAATGTAAAATTCCACGACCGAGTAGGACGATTCAGCGCTGCTATTGATTTTCTAAAGCTCACTGGATTCCAGGAGCTGAAAGCTGACACAAAAGAGGGTAAGTCAATTCTATACATCCATGCTACTATATATACACATCTGAATCTTGTGATTTATAACGGGCGTATTGATTGCTACATTGCTGTAGCTTTCTGACGCAACTTACCCTTGCCTACCCCGCCCTGTGACATAATACAAAAATATCCTCGATTCTCTACTCGCACGAGGAAAGGGTCGGGAAGGTTCTACCCATGTACAGCCAGCTTTGAAATGTACATATTAATTTATTGTCTGTGACCTTTTGATTTGTATCTCTGGCATACTTTCGGCAGGCGAACCTGTGAAGGAGTCATTGGTCATTGAAGATGTGCACGTGATGCTCATGGCTTTTGCGAAAATCACTGTAGACGCATGTATGAAAGAGTACGGGGTCGGCGATGAATCAAATAAGGGAAAGGAAAAGGTATACACAGTAGCTTAAGTGTCTATGGAATTACACATGCGCTTGCATCTGTTCACGATATCCATCGCATAATAATGAGCTTCTCGATACGAGATTCCCTGGATCTATCTTCCTCAACTTATGAATGAGATGAGTGCTGTCGCTTTGCAGCAGTCACGGGAGTTATGGCTAGCAAGACCGTTTTCATTTCAGCCGCAACTAAAGTGGTGGTAGTATTTTACTGCCAATAGAGCACAATAGTTGCGGTAAATCCAGTATTAATCGCCTCTGTGTATGCGTTTTGCACAAATAGGTTGCAACAGGCATATATCCTTACTTGCATACGCCACGTGCCAGGCTGAGTTTGCCCTTTTCACGTCTCATTGGGTAGTTCCATGTTTCATCTATATCAGGCTGCAGCAGACACAGCCGGAATAACATATGAAGATTACGACAGCGAAGTTGACGTCGATGATGAAGATGATGGGCACGACGACACGTGCGCCAAATGCTTTACAGAGGGTGAGCTGATAATGTGCGAGGCGTGTCCGAACTCGTACCACCTGGGGTGCTGTATGCCCCCGTTGGAGGTGAGTACGAAGTATTCTAGTTATTGGTTTCACGTCCTATAGTACAAATCTTATCATGCGAGTTCTTAACATTGCTTGTATGTATAACTCCCCGGAATGTTCTTTCGATGACGAGTTCACTATGTTTTATGTATTCTTGATGTATCTATATTGTTTGTTCATGAATACATTTGATATGAGCTGCGTCTCAGTTAGTGACGTACGAGTTACATTCGATTTCTATATTAGCAAGAACGGGTTTAAGGTCCAGGATTTGGAGAAGAAAATCGGATGTATTTCTACTACGCTTCCATGCTACGCTTCCATAATGTTGCTGTTTTGAATAGTGGTTGTTGATATTCGATCTATGCGAAACATCCTACCATTCGTATCAGTTTTACCTGCTAATGTGTAGGATCTGCATATGCGTCTATTGCCGACAGTAGATGTGCCTTCTGAGGCGGTCGTGAACGGACAGATCGTGTGAATATGTGGTGTGCTAGCAGCCGCTAACTATTGTCACCTCAGTGTGTGTTCCAGTCAATGGACATAGCTCCAATGACAATCTAAGCTTACTTACCAAATTTTTGAGCACTTCTTTCCACCATAAAACCGGCTGAATTTAATATATTAACGAGTGGCGAAGGACTGATCTTACTCCCTCCTCATTCTACACTTCTCAATGGACAATTGCTACTTCCACCCTCCTATTCAATCGCTATAGTCCGTGCCAGAGGGTGACTGGTATTGTGGCGTATGCACTATGACGCGCGAGAGTACTGGGGAGCCACAGAACACCAGTGCTTCTTCAGACAAGGTAGGTTAAATGCTACTATTGTATGTATGTGCCTTGTTTGAAGTATTACTGCTTCTAAGTGGTTGTCCTGAGCTAATGTCCCGAAGTAAATTAATACCGGGGAATATTCTTTGGTTGAAAACATGTGTATCTGTCTGTAATACAACAATCATACATTTTTTTCTTTCATTTCCCATTCTTGGCGGATCATATTCGTCATTTTAATGCAGCTGTTTGTATATAAGCGCTTTATATCATGTCACATTCTTGTTAGTGGCGTGGGATGCATGTGCTATGAATATGTCAAGCTGAATGTCTATGCAGAGTTAAAGTGAGGGGAGATCAGTGTATGATGATCCCAGCGTGCTATTATGTACTTGATAAACAGTTTCAATTGTATCGGGTGAATCACGCTGAAGCACAGGTGGTATAGCTTGTGCTTGAGCGGGTCTCCAGAAGTGGTGGACGATCCATATGGCTCATTTGGAACTGACTGCGTCTTGGGCCTGTACTGGGCACACTTACATCTTGCACGTTGTCACTATGCGGCCCACGCCAATTTTATTGACACCTAATTCCACCGTATTCTTGCCATTATAATGGTTCGAAGAGGTATGATGGAAGATTGGCTTTTATCGAGTGTATACGTTTGTCGCCATTCGTGGCGTGTATGCTGGCTGAGCTTGCAGTAGACAATATATATTATGCAGGCATATTTGACGAAGGTGCATTCTTGAATACCAAGCAGTATTTTTCTGCACTTTGTGAGCGTAGCGAATGCGTGATTCGAAATGGTGGGTTTTTTTTTGCGATTCCGTGTCGGTTAGGAGCGACTGAAATTATATCAAAACACGGATTGACACATCTATGCCTAGAAAAGATATTTGGATGCGAACATGTATATCCACAGTTTTCTGAGTCTCACCTTTTCCTTTTGACTATTCTCAGAATATTCCTGCTTTCGTGAAACCTGACGAGGGAAGCGCGAGTAGTAGTGGCAGCAGCAATAACGTTACAAGTGTATGCTCCCGAGCAGATACACAGACAGACGTTGCAGTTCAGGAAGCACCAACAGACAGTCAAGAGGCACCTTTGATAAGCCAAGATGCCGCTCCAGATAGTCAGAAAGTAACTGCGAGTAGCCAGGATGTATCAACAGAGAGCAAAGTGAGCGTGCCGGTCAACACTGCGCCACAATCAGCTGCTAACGCCGAAGATGCCGCGCGACGCGTGACATAATGAGCATAGTGGCTGGCTATGGGCTATCCGGAGGAGCTGGTCAGGTGTGTGATTTTGACATTTTTTTGTGACAGTATAGCCGATTTCAATTAAAGTAATTTTGTGCAATAGGCCAGACAGTTTTACATAGGGAGTTTTTTGTCATTCTCGGCTTGATCTGTGGAGCTCTGGTGCATATCATACCTCATTCCCGGTAGCACTACATATTTTACACATAGTCGGAATTTTGGATTGAGACGTAGATGCTGCGCGCGGTATATTTTAATATTACACATTTATTACTCCCATTTGCAATGTCGTGCAGGACTTGTTCTGTGCAGACGTCTTCAAATGTTCAAATCATGTTATTATACGCTGATCATTAGACACACTTTATGGACCTTGGCTTTATCGCCTTCACTTCACTTCATTATCGCCTTCCCTTTAAATCTGCTCCGTGATGCGTCTTACTTTTCTGTAAAATTATCGCAAAGTGAAAAATGTAGGGGATTTCCGATTATTCAACTATTTATCTGCTGCTCTAACTATATACAGAGAAATCTACCAAAGGGAGAATCGGGATATTAATCGCACCATTGATATGTTGGTTAATACATTCGGCGCAACTGTTGAAAAAGAAATTATGCTGCCGAATTAAATATCACCGCGTCAGACAAAAGAATACTGTCAAAAATAAGATTTTTTTCAAAAAATAAACAGATCTCGCTCACATCCAATTAGCTTGTCAGCGAACTTGTATTGAGAGAACCAGCACTATCTACCCGTTTTGTACACGAGAGTGGCTCTCATACAGAAATACGGTAAGAACAGCCGGAACAAGAGGGTAGAACACATTCTAGTTTCAAGATTGATAAACGTGCTACAAAATGTTTCTGTTTTTATTAACGATGGAACAGCAATGTGCATGCCAGGGTAGAGTCAAGTAGCCGCGTGGCTAGGGAACACTGGTGTATCGTAAAGTAGCAGCCGATTCCTTGGGCGAGATATTTGAGACTGCAACGTCAGTGAGTAATATCAGTGAGAGATTTCAGTGAAGCTCTTGTACGCAAGCTCACGAATTGTTTGCTCCGTCCACTCTGTTAGTTCAATCTGATATTGTCCTGATATTGTCATTTGAACAAAGGGGCATGAGTTGGTGAGCTGCAAGTCTTTTCTGGCCATGGCCGTTGCCTCAGCAGGGATACTTGTCGAGTAATAAGATGCTTTAAATCAAATCATTCAGAGATTTTCAGTGCCATATAGACTTGGTTGCGGACGAGAAAAATCAGAGCATTGCGAAAAACTATCCACTACGAGTTTTATTCCACGCCTGACACTTTCGGTTGCTGTTTGTCAGAAATGCCGTTCGGGTTTGTACAAGCCATACAATGAACCGAAGCTGAGCCTCACGAATGTACGTGGGCTACTCACTCGTGTGGTAAGCATGGCTTGTAATATTGCATTGATCAAATATTACCTAGTGTTGTTGCAGGTTTAAACATATTATTCGTCTGGTACGGGTTTAGACCAACTAACACTCACAGCAGGGCCACGATGGTGTTGCAGGGCTCATACGGGGCGCATTCCATTGCCAGGTAATGATGCAATGCCTATCAAAATTCAGCATAGTTGACTAACCCTGCATATCATCCGGTACTCGTACGTACAATATGGTTTTGTCAGACTTGTACATGCAATATGGTATTGTCGGACGCATATAATTATCTCAATACGTCACATCTCGGTGCCACCGACCTGGTCCTAGGGCTCGTATTCTAATTTACATTTACTTTGCGTAGTAGATACTTGGGAAGGCAGTGACTCCAAGCGTTGCATCCCTCATGAGTTTAGCAATTCAGGCGGAGGCAACGATGATTTGCACGTTTGCATCAGAATCGACTTATGATTACAAAATGGGATCTGCTCACAGGCATTGCTGACTAATATACAACAGGTGCCTATGTGGCCCAAGTTGTTGAGTTTTCCGCACAAATTGTTCTACAGGGTCGCTGCTGGCAAATTTACTCATTGCTTGACTATGATCATTGTATTCGCGGAGGGAAATTAAGACAACGCATAAAATATGTTTGCGCTAAATCTTGCACGAGCACGCCTGACATATATACTCGTGTTTCCATCGGATCTCTGACACCAATCAAAAACTCGCTCAGCAACCATTTTCGCTCGGGCTAATGTTCGCCTTATTCCCATCTACCTCGTTTACGTGGGCGTTCATTTGCTCGTGCGTATTCTTTATCGGGTGTGTGAATGCGAGCGTGTATTTTTCTTGTGTTTATGCTCATGTAAACGTTTAGTGGTATTCTCCTCAGGCCCATAGCACAGTCGTTGTGCCCTAAGGAAATGCGGCTTAATCGTAGGCCAAGTGGCTCGGTGTATCCCAGGTGTTATAAAAATACACAGCGCCATCCGGACTGGTCCAGTTAAAGTTGTCGCCGTGTATGCAAGCTGATCAACGAAGATATCATTCAGTTTAATATATACACAAGGCCGTATTGAGAATAACCCTGCCATTTGTAGATCTGTACTTTCATTGCGGGAAGGTACTAACAGCGCGGTCCAGTAAAAAAAATTGCGTTGTAATTGAGCATAATATTACACGGCTGCCAATCAATTATTTCCCCGCTTCGCCAAAACCGAAAGATATTACCCTAAATATCCATTCATGGCAGGTAAATGGTTCACATACGGCAACTATGACCACGCAATCACAAAATTGGCCTACTACTCAAGTGCGACAAGATAGATTCTTAAGATACATACCAAAAAATTACTGGCTTCGCCTTCCATACGATTACCAATGGAACCCAGCCCAACAGCATTGAAAATGGTCATCACATCCACACCTCTGGCAGTCAACAAGTAAAAGCCGGCGAGGGTAGATGCCCACACAGTACTGTAAGTGATAGCCGCGATAGGACCATACATCTGGGGTAGAGTGGATGTAATCAAATTAATAATTAGCATGTACAATCGACATTATGAAACGTGGTTTGCGTTATCCCTCCATCGCACTACCCCGACTAGGTGATAGCTTTGTGGTAATGCTCACGCTCACCATATGTACCGATCAATACCAGTGCACTGAACAATTACAGGCAAAATAGTCGTGGATCCCGGTACAGTGACAGAAAACTATATTCCAATCATACATCGTATCCCTCGGCACCCCAGAAAAGCATGAAACACGCATATAAGTGGTACCAATGTGCATTGAATATGTAGCAACAGAAGCCTCATCACAAGCTACGTGGCACCACAAACAACAAGGATATGATGTACATACAACAAAATTTTGTTTCTCGTTTTATGCAGCGAAATATATAGCCATTCTTCTTATTTCTTCACGTAATTGGATGCAGTTATGCTGACATAACATGAACGTGTGACGACATGTTTAGCCAAGAAAAATTTGAAACAAGAATGAACATTGAAGACAAGCACACGCAAACACGCACACACCAACAATACACACACACACAGACAAAACACACGTACGCAAGCACACTCAGACGTAAACACACACGCGCGCACGCACATACACAAAAACTCAAACACACACAAACCCTTATATACATATTTATGTACGAATATATCCCACACACACACACACACACACACATATATATATATACATACATATACAAACATACATACACACACACACACACAACCCTTATATACATATTTATGTACGAATATATCACACACACACACACACACACATATATATATATATATATGTATATACATATACATATACAAACATAC